GGTTCAGTCCCTGATTGCTTCCTTGCTCTCCTTCCCTTCCACTCTGCCCAGTTCCATTTACTGTCCTCTAATGCTTGCAGAATCCTTTGTTGCACTGATTCAACCTCCTAAGCACAAAAAATATCCACTTCCAATCCTTTTGTGGCTAGGACAGTTTTCATCAACTCAAGGATCCGAGGAGCAAGAAAGCCAGTGCACAGCAGAGGACTTTCCTCATTTAGCAGCAGTGCACTTCAATTCCCACACACATTTCCCTGAGGTGACAGGTTGTGTTATCAGAGCTTTACTACTCACAGTACAGAGAAAAATGAAATCTTTCATGTAATTCAGGTCAAAGAAGCAAATTTTTACTACCATGGGAATGCACGTAAGCTTTGCCTTTCCAGTCTAACACAACTCTCAGTCTTTTACCAGTTAACCAGTATGAGTTGTCACATGCTAGGTGTCTTGAACCACTTCAGTAAATCACAGAAGAGTTGAGGTGAGAAGGGACCTCTGGAGGTCATGTGGTCCAACCCCCCCTGCTCAAGCAGGGCCACCTACAGCCAGCTGCCCAGGACCGTGTCCAGGTGGCATTTTGAGTATCTCCAAGGTGGGAGACTCCCCAGTCTCCCTGGGCAACCTCTGCCAGTGCTCAGTCACCCTCACGGCAAAAAAGTGTTTCCTGATGTTCAGAGGGAACCCCCTGCCTTTCCATTTGTGCCCACTGCCTCTTGTCCTGTCGCTGGGCACCGCTGAAAACAGCCTGGCTCCATTTTCTTTGCACCCTCCCTTCAGGTATTTATACACATTGATAAGATCCCCCTCTCCCCCACTCACGCCGCCTCTTCTCCAGGCTGAACAGTCCCAGCTCTCCCAGCCTTTTCTCATGTGAGAGATGCTCCAATCCCTTAAACATCTTTGAGGCCCTTTGTTGGGCTCTCTCCAGTATATCCACGTCTCTCTCTTGTACCGAGGAGCGCAGAACTGGACACAGCACTCCAGGTGCAGCCTCACCAGCGCCAGCAGAGGCGACGGATCACCTCCCTGGACCTGCTGGCAAGACTTTGCCTAATGCAGCCCAGGATACCATTGGCCGCCTTTGCTGCCAGGGCATGCTGCTGGCTCGTGTTGAACCTGGGGTCTGGCAGGACCTCCCGGTCCCTTTCTGTGAAGCTGCTTTCCAGCTGGGCAGTCCCCAGTATATATTGGTGCAATTCACATTTTCTGACAATTACTTTGGTGCAAAGTCCTGATATTTGTGTGACACGTTATCTTCCATAACTCACTGTCTCCATACATGCTATCTGATTTCCAAAGGAGAGTACTTACCTTTCAATAATTGCTCTCCTCATAGCTTCTTGGCTATATGGACACTTCCCCACTATAATTGCGGACAGATACAATGGATACTGCAGGAAATGCATGAGAAGAGCTCCTTGACACCCTAACACGTTCCAGCGAGCCAGTTTATCACTGCAGGACATAGAGCATGTTCTGTCCCCACGACCTGGCTTCACTCGTAATAATCCCACACGGTGATACCCTACCCCAGGTATTCGGGCATCACCCAGCTCTCCAGGTACGCATTTTGCTCCAGTTCTGTAAACATCCACTACCTTCAGTCTCCCTAAGACAGTCTCCTTATTAGCTGTTTGCATCTCTGCAGAGCATTCACAGCTCTTTGGATCTTTGTAGTCTTCTTGTTTCACAGCCAGTTCTTCAGTGATTACGGAAGAGTAACCGTCATCGTCAGTTTTCATTCTCTTGATTATATGATTACATGCTATTTTCTCAGATTTCCTTTTTCCTTCTGGACCCAAGTGATCATGGTTATTTCTACACTCTGCTGATTGTCCAGCGGCATCATTTCCAGTTACTGGCTTAGAAAGCTGGTTCTCTGGTTCACCAATTGGAATAATAGAAGCATCTCCACCTAGAACAAAAGACGTAACATCAAAATCAGCCAAAACCACATGTCTCATGACTGGAATACATCACACCAGTAATACTGGAATACATCACACCAGAAAGCTACTACTAGCTTTCGCAGATTTGCAGTTTTAACTGCGAGAACACGCTTCTCAAACAACGCTGCCCTGTACAATGACGAATCAGACTTTGCTGAAATTTGAGACAATGTAGTTTAATAGCAAAATTTTAAAATAAAAATTATAAAGCAGAAGGTCTCAAAGGCATTTGACAGACCACAAGCAGCACTGAAGACTCACAGGAAAACTAGTCTGATCTAACTAAACACAAACCTCGAAAGAGTAATTGAAGAGTAACCTATCAAATATGGATAGAAATTTTGATCTGTATCACTAAACCAAGCTCAAGACCAAAATTCTGACGCTCAGTTCAAAGCAAAGCCTGACAGGCATGTGAGAAAAGGGCAGTCAGGAAATTATTCTTGCTATTGAATTTGAAGATGTAGATCCTATTCTTGTATCGCATTAAAGAAGACAAACCATCCTAGTGTATCCCAGCAACGCCAGCAAAATCATGAAAACGTATGAGCAACTAATTCACCATGCGAAGAACTGACGAGGCGTATTTTGAGAGTGCTTAGACTGGTCTGGTAACAGACCAGCAGCTGAAGAACACACTCACAAGACTGCGGCAACATTGAGACATCTGATAAGCTGGCAGACCAAGAGGCCGCCTTCCTATGTTGTGCAAACAGATCCTCATCTCTGTAGTGCTAGTTTTTTAAAACACACAAAGAGTGTTCTCCATGACAAAACAAAAAGTTGCATTCCATTTCGGGTTGGGGATGGGTGGGGTGGTGTTTTGAGGGTGGGGCTTTTGTTGTTGTTTTGGGGGGGTTTGGTTGTGTTGGGGTTTTCTGTTTGTTTCCCCCCATTTTTCCTTTGTTTGGTGGTTGGTTGGTTTGGGGTTTTTGGTAGTTTTTTGTTTGGGGTGGGGATTTTTGTTTGGGTTTTTTTGTTTGTTGGGGGGTTTTTTTTGTTTGTTTGTTTTTAGGAACTGCGGTAAATGTCAATGTTTTTTATTAAAATTCGAATCCAAGGAGACAACATTTAAAGCAAAGCAACCAGGAAATATGATAGGAACTCTGACAAGTATGTTAGTTTCTGGAAAGGAAAATAGTTGCCATTATTGTTTAAAAAGAAAGTGAAGCATTCCGCTTTATAATGAGCAGTATATTGATCTACAGAGTTCTCATGAACCACGTCCAGTGAGACAAAATGCCTAACGTATCTGTGCAGGACCAGTCAAGTACATCTTAGGGCATGTACTGGTAGCATGAGTTACTGCCTCACCCCAGACCACAGAGAGACCAAAGAAAGGCAAGGGGTAGAAAAGATTCTACAAGTCGGAGTCATGAAATTGGTTCACTCCAGCATACTCACATGGGGTATGACTGGAGAAGAAAACAAATATGATATTTGGTTTGAGTTTCCATTTCCCAGTTTCAGTTCCTGGAATAAAGATACTGCATTGCTGATGGGAAGCTGCCAGCCACATCTGATGGAGGAGATACCTGTTAGGCAGAAAGTTTTCATGAAACATTTACTTCACTTTTGATGCATGGGAAAACAACGAAAATTAGATGCCCACTAGTGCCTGTTCTTTCCTGATGAAGTCTATGAGAAGCCAATCAGTTATGCTTCTACAGACAGATGGTATCCAACATACTCCATAAACACAAACACATTGGAACCTTAATAACAGACCTCAAAGGGCTGGATTCAGTGGAGTTAACTATCTCCTCAAATCATGTATCTAAGGTCCCCTCGTCCCACTCTCTATTTTTACCAGCACTGCAACTTGAGAGCCAGTTTAGCAGCATCAAACCCCAAAAAATGGACTAGTTTCTCTAGCATTTGTTTTCTCTTGGCTCAGTTCCTTGAACCAGCCTATCCCATGTGAACAAGAGGACTGGTATGTGGGAAACAGCAAAAAGGCTACCCTTGACAGCTAGTCAATAGACCAGCATAGACGTCACATGAAATCAGATCCTACTTCTTTGTACCAAGGCTCTACAAGAATGAGGAAGAAAGAAGCTTTTATGAAAGGGCTGTAACACCACCTAGAAGTGTAAAAATTAGGTTAAACTCCTGCTAACAAAGAGAAAACAAGTGTTGCCCACACAGAAGTAGTACAGTCTTTTTCATTACATTCTCATCTGAAACTGCAACATCTGGCTATTTCAGCTATAGGTCAAAACCGTTTGTATCACAACCACCAAGCTCAAGTGGCACTGTATCTCATGCTCACCTCTGGAAGCTCCTCTTGGCCACAATTTCAGCATGACTGTCATTCAGAATGTCTCCTAAAGCAACAACCAAATGAGAACAATATGCGTCATTACTGAAAAGGAGATGAACAAAGCAAACAGAATTTGACAGATAACAGTTCTCCAGATTTTGTTAGCATTTGAAGGTTTAACATTGTTAATAGGACTGAGTGTACCCTCAGTAAATTTGCAGATGATGCCAAATTGGGTGGGAGTGTCGATCTGCTTAAGGGGAGGAGGGCTCTGCAGAGGGACCTGGACAGGCTGGATCTATGGGCTGAGGCCGACTGTATGAGGTTCAACAAGGCCAAGTGCCAGGTCCTGCACTTTGCTCACAACAATCCCACGCAACGCTACAGCCTTGGGGCAGAGTGGCTGGAAAGCTGCCCAGAGGAAAAAGACCTGGGGGTACTGGTTGACAGCTGGATGAATATGAGCCAGCAGTGTGCCCTGGTGGCCAAGAGGGCCAACAGCATCCTGGCTTGTATCAGGAATGGCATGGCCAGCAGGAGCAGGGCAGTGACCGTGCCCCTGTGCTGGGCACTGGTGAGGCCGCACCTTGCCTGCTGGGGTCAGGGTTGGGCCCCTCACTACATGAAAGACGTTGCATTGCTGGAACATGTCCAGAGGAGAGCAACAAAGCTGGTGAGGGGTCTGGAGCGCAAGTCTTACGAGGAGCAGCTGGGGGAGCTGGGGGGGGTTCAGCCTGGAGCAGAGGAGGCTGAGGGGAGCCCTCATCGCTCCCTACAACTGCCTGAGAGGAGGAGGGAGCGGGGGGGTCGGGCTCTGCTGGACAGGGTTTAGTGGTGGGATGGCAGGGTTAGGGTAACGGTTGGACTTTATGATCTTAAAGGTCTTTTCCAACCTAAACGATTCTATGATTTAAACTTCCAATTGCTACAAAGGGATGTCAATAGCCTACACAAATGAAGGATTAAAGTCTTCACAGCAAGTCAGGGACTTGTTTAAATACCAAATTTTAACTCTTCTGATACCTGAAATCCTTTGAGTTGAATAAACACTGGCTTCCTTCAAAACCTTCCTGATGTTTGTTCTTAATAGTAAATCTTGATATTCTCAGATTAAGCATAACATCCAGAAAATTTCAAGTGTTTATTAAGCTTCTGGTTGAAGTTTCTTGTTGCACTATGCCCTACAATTTAAATTACTTTTCTTGTAAATAATTCTGGTATTTACCAGGTTTACACATCTCATCTTCAAACTTCCTGCAAAGCCTGCCTATTGCGGTATCTAAAGGAAGAAGATCTGTAGATCAAGCTTTTATTTCAGGAATAAAAGGCCGGGTGATAAAAGTCCTCTTTAACAGTTCCAAAAGTGTAAAGTTCAAAAGTTCTTTAACAGATATCATTAACACAATCTACCAACCAAGTTATTTTAAAAATAAATGAATGTTAAGTTTAGAAAACATTTCCCTCTTAAGATCACTGAAGACAAACAACAGAGGGAGGAACCAGCTTTACTTTTTTCTAGTCAAATTTCTTTTTTGACTCTTAATACCTAGCCCATAAATAGTACACCAGTTTAATCACAATCTTCCTAAATCAATCAGAAAAACGCCTGTACTAATACTCTTCTAAGATGGCCAAGTCATGAGAAACATCCACAAAAATATAAGATACAAACTTCAGTTTCTTTTCTTCTGCTCCACTACTTCATTTTTATACGAAGGATGTTATACACAACACAAAACAGCCCAAAACTGATGAATGCAAAACCATTTCTCCTACCTGGCTCTAATCCTCCTCTGAAGTCTAAAGAACGATGAAAGCCCTGTACCTACATATTCACACATGCTTTTCCTCCTCAGCATTAATTACCATGGCTTCTCCCCTCTCCTAGGAGAGGGGACAGATAAATTCTGAATAAAAAAAGGCAGTCATGCAGAGCAAGGAAGTCCTACAATAAATGGTAAGAAATGGTAACTGTGGGAAGTCACATATCTATCCCACACATTTATTGTACAAACACTTAAAACTACCTAGCCACAGAATATACAGTAAGGGAGAAGAAGCCTGTTAGTGTCTTTCTGATGTCACCCCTACCCTAACTCAGCAGTGGTATCTTTTGCCTCAGACCACAGTAGAACTAGACTGTAACAGGTGACTGAAGCACAATTATTTTGCTTATGTTTCATTTTGCTTTTAGTTATGAATTCTTTGGGTACGCAGACTCAGGGCCTGAACTACACATTTCCGTACATGAAAGGTTAATTCACCTTTAAGGCAGAAAGCACAGTGAACTCTCTGCCATTCTGGCTGCCTAAGCCCCTCTCTTCCTGACAAGGTCAGGTCAGCCTTACACTTCAGCTTCAACCCAGAAGCCTGAGCTCAATGCCTTGGACATTTTAAATTATTCTACTGACACCAGCGAGAAAGAAGGTAGTGTAGGTAGTCTGTTCTTGGATTTTTTACAGCATACTTACCAGTTTTTCTCATTTTGTTTTGGCCAATACATTTTGTTCCGGTTCCCATAGCAACAACTTCCTTTGTTACTGAAAAAAAAAAAAATTAACTGAATGAACTGTTGCCAGAGGCATTGCTTACGGAACATTGTGCAGAAGGGAAGGCACAGGGAAGGAGGCCGTGCAACATTCCAGAAAGGGAACTGCATCAGCCGGAGAACTGAACAAAGTAGGCAGAAGCATCAGTGCTAGGAAAAGTCTATGATCCCGCAGCAGGAGTGCTAACACAGGCTCGATATGTCAGGCAACACACAGCGGACACTGGCATAGGATTCCTCAAACACGCAAGAGAGAAGCATGGGATACAATTTGCATAACAACATGCAAGTGCCAGTAAGGGAAAAGATGATGATGGTGAACTGACACAAACGTGCAATGTAATAACGCAGTCTGTTAAAGAATGAACCAAGAGCTTTCTACGTTCTTTCAAATAGTAGCAAAACACACTTTTGCAAGGGCTTACATTAGGAATTCAGGTCCTGCCTAGACTTTTGCCACTCACTGAACAGCCAAATGTAGGCTTTTATGTTCCTAGTTACAGTCTGGGAAGAACAGCATCTCACTATAACCACCTCTTCCTAGACAGAAGCTGTAAAAGCTTTTACAATCACAAAGAATAGAATATGGGTGGAGATGGAAACAGAACAGGAAGAAGCGTATGTTTTTTCAAAAGGTACTTTGAAAAAAAAAAAAAAATAAAGAAGCATCAAGGACTGCCACCTCCTCTCCTCCCTATCCCCACTCCCCCAATCCCCATAACTTACCCTGCAGGTTCCCTGGACTAGCAAGAAGCTCTCTCTGGGTTGCAGACTCCACTTTGACAATAGCTGCCAGTGAAGTCCATTCCCTCTTTGGATCTGGCTTCCCCTGCTTAGGTAGTCTCGTCCTATAATGCAGGTAACATAGCTCAGCAATTTCATCAGCTGACCACATGGCTCCCGGTGCGAGTGCAGGTTCTAAACAGAATTCGATTCCATCACAACGCTGATTAATGACCCCCACCTCTTCAAACCCTACTGCCTTCCTCTGCATGACACCTTCCTGTACCAGATTCCAATATCCAAGGCCTAACTGCATCACCCTTTCAGGATTAATTATAAGAAATGTCTCATGTGAAAAAAAACAACTTTTTTTTCCCAAACCGCTACGAATAAAGAACAACGCCGGAACCCACGCGGCCCAGCAGCAGCTGAGCCCCCCGGGCTCCCCGGGCTCCC